TGATGCTTACATGTGTGTGGATGATTCATATTTATGGCATTAAGATTAGGACATATATGTAAAGATAAAATGAACAAAATGGTTAAATGAAGCTTGCTTACCAACTTAGGAGAAATTATACTAAGACATACGAGTCATGTATTTCTAATAAATTAATTAAGAAGTCTTTTCTTAAAGAAAAAAAGTTCTAATGAACTACTTAGTATTATTCACTCTGGTATATATGGTCTATTAAATATAAAACCACATAGAGGTATGGAATATTTTATAATGTTTATAGATATTTATTCTCGTTATGGATATGATACTTAATTAACAAAAAGTCAAATGCATTAGAAATGTTTAAAGAATATAAAACTAAGGAAAAAAACTAACTAGGAAGACATTCTTAGGACAGATAGGGGAAGTGAATACTTTTACGACTTATTTACCGAATTTTGTAAGAGGCATGTTACAATTCACCAAACCATCATACCATATACACCACAACAAAATGGTGTAACTGAATGAAAAAATAGAACTATAATAGACGTGGTTAGGTCTATTATGAGCCATTCAAATTTATAACCTCATGTTTTGGATGAGGCTCTCAACACTGTAATGTATATTATTAATTGTGTTCCAACTAAATTCATAGACTTAACCCCCTATGAATTATGGACTAGTAAAAAACTTGAATTATGGATTAGTAGAAAACCTAGCCATACTATCTTGAAAGTTTGGGTTCTAGGGCATATATGCTTATACCACCACAAAATAGAGATAAACTACAAAGTAAAATCATCAAATGCTACTTTAGAGGTTAGTCAAAAAATTTTAAAGGTTATAGATTCTATAACCATGGCACTAGAATCTTAATAGAGAGTTGTGATGCTCATTTCTCAGAAATTATAGATAATGAATATACTTTAAATAAGCTAATAGACTAATACAAAATTGATAAAAATAAGGTTCTCGCAGACCCTGTTACTCAGTCTCCCTCTACAATTGGTGATCTAATAGTTCTAAATTATAAAATACTCGAAGATCCCGTTATTCAGTTATCTAATAGTTCTAAAAAACCTAGTTAATGCAAATGGATCTTTAGAAAAATATAAAGCTAGGCTGGTAGCTAAATGATTTGCTTAAAAGAAGATTATAGATTATGTAAAGACTCATTCTCTAGTAGCCAAAATTGTATCTATTAGGTTCATCCTAACATTAGCTGTATATTATGATCTAAAACTATTTCAAATGGATTAATGGAGAATTAAAAGAAGATATTTCTATAAAGCAACCAGAAGGATATGTTATTAAAGGCTATGAAGACAAAGTATATAAACTTAATAAATCTTTACATGATCTAAAACAGTCTTCTAGGTGGTGGTACTTCAATCAATAAAATTGATTATGTAGCCAATTTTGTTATCTTATCTTTATATATATATGATATTCTGCTAACTGTTAATGATATTAGCATGATTAACCATATCAAATCTTGATTAAGTTCTTACTTTGAGATGGAAAATATGGGGGAAGCCTCATATGTACTAGGCATTAAGATAACAAGAGCTAGAAGTTCAAGGCTCCTATATTTATCTCAGGAATATTATTATGAAATTTAAGATGGAAAATTGTAAGCCTATATATACAACTATTTGTAAAGGCTTGAAATTTTAACAGAAAATACGTCTATCAAATGATAGTGATAAATCTGAAATGGAAAAAAATTCATATTCTCAAGTTGTAATAATCAAGCTACCATCTCATCAATTAATAATGGAGCCCAGTTCTAAGGGATTAAGTGCACAAATATTTTCAAAGCATATAACTTTGATGACCCAGGTATTAAGGGCATAGATATTTTCAAAGCATATAACCCTAATTTTTTATATAAATTAGGGTTTCATAGAAAAAATGAAGAGAAAAATAAATAGTTCTAAAACGTTATGGACAAGCCAACGACGCTGCCCACCAATACCTGGGATCTTCAAGAGTTCGTCACCTTCTTTTCTTAACATTTACAAATCAGATTCTTTTGAAAACGCATATGTACGTCTAAATAACTCGCACCTAAATAAAATAGAGGAATGATCCAGTGTATTTTCACTACACCTTGATATTGTGTATGTGAATTCTTGACCGTCCATCTTAATCTCACCCCATTTAATAAAATATCAAAACATAATAACTTTTAAGATCTTTTAACTCAAATTGTATTTTTACCTTTTTGGCCATCTCTCTTCCATTCAAACTACTTCTTTCTCCCACAGTGACCTCTCTCTCTCTCCCCCTATGGGTTCCAAAGATCCATCTACGGAGGTCTCTCCTTCTTGAGTAGAGGCATGAAAGGGAATAAATGCCCTTTATCTCTCTTCCCCGTTAAAACCTTCATTCGTCCCTTTCCTCCCTTTCTCTTTTTAGCACTTTAACGCTATCCCTTGCAATGGTTTTTCTTTGTGCTGCAACTTTAAAGGTTGCTTTCCTGAAACTTGAGTGATGAATCATAGAGATGCTCAGTCAAGGAAGAGGAATCAGCAGAGATCTAGTAGAAGCTTTTTCTTCTATTTTTCTCTTTTTATGGAGAAGAAAAGGAAGTGGAAACACAAAATTGGAGGGGCTTGAGTGTCTCTTTCAATGATGGTGCACAACAAGGGAGAGAAAACATAAGGTTAACTGGATAGTCTCCCAACCTATAATTACTTCAAAAGGAGGGGCAAAATGACGTTGAGAAAAAGGCCAGCATGTTGAAAAGAGGGTGGAACACCTACGTTCTTTTAATGGTTGAAGATGTGAGGAAGAAAGAGAATGATCAAGAAGGGTAGCTCATTTCTTTAGCAGATGTATGTGTGGGTTTTGTAGAAAAAAATATATAGGTTTTTCAACATAGCTTTAAGGGGTTTTTAATATGGAAAAGTATAGAATGAGACCATTTATCTTTGGTACAAGGTGGCCACAATTAATCTTGACCGCTCGATGTAAAATTGGGTGGCTACTTTTATTCTATTGACCAATCTTAAAGTTCAAAAGAAATTTTCTCAAACTTTATGACACATCCAAGTTATCAAATTTCACATGGGATAGTTATAAGTAATTGTGACCTCTTTGTGTACAAGGTAAATGGTCTTGTCGTATACAATCCCTTTTAACATTGCTTTGTAGAGATATTGCATGTCGCATAAGAGAGAGCTCTTAGTTACAGAGTGAAGCGAGAAAAAAGAGGTGTTGATAGGTTATTTTTGTTACGATTAATAGAGGGAGAATGAGAAAAGAGAAACAAGGAATTTTTCAAAAGAAAGGGTATAGAATCTTTTACTCACCATATCACATATTGAAAATTCATAGGATCATTCCCAATAAAATATTAAAAAATAATTAAAAAAATGAAATGATGAAAATACCCTTGTAATATTCATAGGAGTAATTTTGTTATTTTATAACTTGAATTATGTTTTTATATTTTATTTTGGTGCGCCATACCCACTTTAAAGGTTGATCAGATTTGTAAAAAAATAATAAAAATTCAAAGACTACCAAACAATCGTGATCGTTTTGGTGGACTATCAACAGTGATGAGCTATGTGAAATACTGTTGAAATACACTTGTGATTAATTTAAGTGTTTTGCATACATGATTTTGTGTTGGACTAGTTGAAAATAAATAAAACATTAAATAGTTGATAAGATAAGTATATTTTGATAAAGCTCCTCAAGAAGAATTAAAGTGAAACATACAACCACAATTTAAAAATTGTGCATCTAACTCTAGGGAACCAAAAAATCGTCTTACTCAAGTTTTTATTTTTCAAAATATATTTTTCAACTTTTTTGTTATACCTTGTAGAATCGGCCCGGTAGACTAGGACTGCCGATTGGCTTGATACATTAGACGATCAAGTCGTAGGGCAATTCATGTTTCAACCATAGTAGGCGCTAAGTTTTATTCCTTTTTTGCCTTGATAACTATCATCCAGGGTGTTTATGCTTTCAATAAGTGCACCAAACCTTCCCTACTGTCATGGTAGTGTATATACTAGTGTTTAAAATTACTATGCTATTTACAGTAGTGTATAAAATAAGGAACTCGGGGACCAACTTGCTAGGGTCCCGATCCAGATTCCATTAAAAAGTCGCCCGAGTGGAAGAACGATCTCCTGAGATGGAGCGAGACTCACCCTATTTTTGGGGTTCCCCATACTTCTAGTTCAACGGTTTATTGCCCATGTAGCATATGGAAGACTATGATGGTCGTAATAACCAAGTGGCTATGTAGAATATTACCATCCAATTAAATGGGTTGGAAGCTGATGGTCATTCAATTGGGTGGTGTTGATCGTAATAACAAAGCGGCTATGTAAAATATCACCATCCAATTAAATGGGTTGGAAGGTGATGGTGCGAAGTAAACATATGACATGTTTGGTAGCGCCTCTCCATCACCATCCAACCTGCTTGTCAGATGGTTCTAACCTCATGGTCATGACTTCATCATGACCATATGGAGTTTATACACCCAATACTTCTACAGTAAGTCAACTGAATAAGAGATTTATGTAATTAGTTAATTACACCTACTCTTTCCAAAAGGATCGCGTGCCTAAGTTTATATGTAATCTAATCCACTAGCTGCCCTAACTGGCTTAAAAAAGCTACCTTTTGGGATGATTTTTCCCGTCGGAGCACACTATCCATTTACCCCCTCAGGCAAAACGCAACTTAGGAGTGTTTTAGGAGGACAAACCTCAAAAACATAACAGCGTTAATGTTTCAAAAAAAAAAAACCTCAAAAACATAACAAAAATACTTTGTGTGCCTAAAAAACGAACATTCCAAGGTTCAAACAAGGACTGCCCCATTTTTGGAGGGCAATATCTAAGCATTGAAAAACTCCAATTTCTAAAAAAAAAAAAATTGAAAATAATCATTGTGCTTATAGATGGCTCCCAAAATTTCTAATTAAAAATCCTCCCAAGAAGCTCTTTTGCCGGATGAAGACAATACACAGTATACTCCTGCTGGAGCATTTAACACGCGCTCATCAATATTATCAAATAAAGAATACAGAGAAAGACGATGTGAACAGTAGTCAGCTATGGTATACTTGTGCAGTGCCTTATTCATACTGCAGCTGCACAGTTAACAAAATATGGCTAAGAACTAAAATGAATTTTTCACAAGTTTCATTGCAGATAAATCCCATGCTTCTCTTGCGCTGCCTAAGAAGACAAGCAACATGAGCTTCTCCACAACAAAGTCCTAACAAATCAAATCTTCTTTATGTACAAAAAGTTCAACAATAGAACAAATTCTGAAGTCAATGGTACACCGGGAGTAGCACACTCACTCACTCTCATAGTCTTCATCATCCCCAAAAGTGAAAACAGATGCATCAGCTGCCATTGCCTTGAAATCACTTCCCTCAACAGAATCCATTTTTGCTGCCTCAAAAGGCACACTCTCTTCCATCTTAGGCTCCCCACTAGAAACATGGACTGCGGCTTCATTTCTCACCAAAGATTGCTTGGTTCCCTCTGCATTTGTTACATTTGCAACAGTCTCCTTCTGGGTAGGGAGCTCAGCAGAGGGTCGAGCTGCAGGAGCAGCAGGGCCCCCTCGTTCTTGTCTACCCACTCGTGATTGCCTTCCCTTTGAAGATCCAATCTCTTCAGCTTCACTATCTGAAAAAATATCGTCTTTCACTTGCATTCTGGTAGCTTCTTCGTTACTCAGGTTTGGAATAGGCTCTCCTCCATCCCCAAGTGGAGTAGCAGTTGTAGTAGTAGAACTAGTAGTAGTACCTCCTGACCCTATGTTCGTGTTACTATCTGATTCCTTGGTGTTATTTTCCGCTTTTGGGTTTGCAAGGATGGAGGCATCATAATCCATTAATACAACCTCTACTTGAAACCCTGGTGAAGGCAATTTCCTCTGTCGAAGAGAATCGCAATAATTCACAAATTTTAGTAATGAAAGTAGAGCTGGTTTGCAATACATAATGTAAGATGAAGAGGGTACATGGAATAAAGCCATAATTTTTACACCAAAAAAAGGAGCACAAGTCGACAAAGAGCAGGTCATCATATAAAACTGAGAAACAAGTTCTAGAAAATGGCATCATACCATTATAATCATCATCAGCCATTACCATCATAAAGCCAAAACACCCATTTCTTAGAGTCAAGCAGATAGCCAAGAGTGAATAACCAATGGACGACAACTTCAGAAGTCAGCATAGCAGCAGAAATTCTTGTTCCCATTGTGTAGTTATTTTCAAGCATCGGACTTTTCAGTTTTCACAAATACAAAATAAAAAACGTTAAAATCTATCCCATCAATTATTAATATATCCTCCATTAGTCTTGAGCAGTAAAGACTGGTAGCCCCATTGAGAATTCATCTATATATTATGTAGCAAGATCTTCTGTCAGCACTATTCCTGATAGTAATGCTGGATACAGACATGTTCAAAGCGAGAAACTCAGAAGATTCGGGTACTTCTGGAACCTCTAAGCATAAAATCGGTTTCTAGGGAAGTATGTTATTGACGTACACTCTTTCAGGCATATTGCTTTGAGGAATTGGGCCTGGGCATGAGTGGGTGATGTTAGCAACATTACATCGATTCCTACCACTGAGCTACCAGAAGGGGGGGAAAAAAGGTATGTTGCTTTGAATGGACAATGAAGGGATGTGTCATGAACAGTAAACAAACTGAAAAACATGACACGAGAATGACAATCAACAATTACGCTGAAAGAGCAAGAGAAAGGGAAAAGAAGAAAAAGATCTTGGGCTTAATTGGTTAATGCTTGACAATTTGCAACACTACGTTCTAGACTCAATTCCTACTAAGGGTAGGGGCCCTCCCCCCACTAACTCACCCAAAAAAAAAAGGGAAAAGAAGAAATTAAAAAAAAAATACTATGAATTAGAGCAACCTAAAGGACCAAATTAGAAATAAAACTACCATACTTCGCACATTAATGCAGCTGATCCAAGCTTAGCTCCAAATAGGGAAGCCTAGACATGACTGCAAATAAATCCTCCCTATCAAATTTGCCTCAGACAAGAGCATTCATCACCATTTTGGATTTGGGAAATGTAACGTTTCTGACTGAGGTAGGATGAACAATTCCATTCCTCAACCTCTGGAGGAATGGCCAACATATGAAGATGAAGATAACAAGAACAATTAAGGCAACTATATTAGCTATCAATGGACCCATTTCTTTGGCACGTGGGGCATGCAGAAACCCTTAGAGTGAAACTGATTAGGTCTTGGTTGGTCAATTTTTTAGAACGACAAACCTAAATGAGGAAGCTGGGAACCTTCAGCCTTGACCGAGAGGAAGGAGCGGCATGTGTCATGTTGCGACTGATACACATGCACATGTTGGTAGCAGAATAAAGGCCTTCAGTGCAAGGCATTTGGCAAGTGGCATTAACAAATAGCTAAGTTAGTGGGACTTGGTAGATCACCAACACCAATAACTGAGTCTTGGTTGAAAAATGAGCAGCCTAACCTAACATGACATAGGCGTTAACATGAGGCAACTAACCATACACCTGGCTGGGAAGAGGTGTTGACCATTAAGCCATAATGTGCAACTACCCCAAGCATGGGCTTATGTAACGGCCACAAGCAATGTGAGAGGCATAATGAGCTATGTATTGAGCATACATGTTTAAAGTGGTATGCATGAGCAGTAATAACCCTTGAAGCAGCTTGACAAGACCTGTAAAACCCCAATGCTCCCTCCCCCGCCCCCCCTGTCCTCTTTTTTTCTTCTCTTCCCCCTTCTTAACAACCTATGTGGGTAGTCATTGATTGCGGGGCATGGACCGTTGTAACTGCCACACCGGGTGGTGGGTAGTAAATGAGGATGAGTTTGCAGGTGCATACCCTGGCCTGTTAACCACTTTTTCAGACCCTTGAAGGGCACCACCTATAACTTTTTATGACCAAGTGTATATTGTGAAATAAAAGGCAAGCCGACACCCTTTTTATAACTTGTGCGAGCCTTGTGTGTTGTTTGCTCCATTCCTCTTGGTTTATGGAAGACTGGCTTACTCTAGGTTCGAATTTAGCTTGGACTTGCACAGTTTGGCTAGATAAAAAGTTAGGTTCCGCGACAGCTGGTATCAGAGTGTGGTTTGGAGATCATGACTGGTGGTGTCCCGGCCAAAATCCAAGATCATGTCAACCACCTTAAGAAGCAATTGGAGAAAATCATGATCCAAGAGATCCAAGCTAGTCATCGTAGCACACCCTTGGAGGCCTGGATCAACGTCTTCAAGGCCAACATGGAGGGGCAATGTGCTCATAGATGACCTGAGAGCCTTTGTGAACTCCTTCAAGGTGTGTCTTGTGACCCTGCAAGAAGGTAATTCCCTGTAAAGAAGGCTTCATGTAAAACCATGAGCGGACCTAGACACTTTGAACTGTGAGGGTGCCAAAGCCCAGGGTGTTTGAAGTATGAGGGACTCCATGTTGGGGAATACCCTATATAGGGCATGGAGCAATATTTTGAGACTGCTTATGCAGGTAAGGAAGATCAAATTGCCATTTGCTCCATTTTACCTCATAAACATGGTGGATGCGGGTTAAGGACACTTCAAAGCCCAAGGTATGCACATGGGAGGCCTTGAAACAAGATTTAAATAATCTCCTCTTGCGAGGCAATGTGGCTTGGGTTGCTCGTGAGGCTTTGTGAAAGATTTGATAGATGGGATTAGTGAGAAAGTACATGAAGAGGCATGCATCTCTCATTGCACATTCAAACCATGACCAAGGAGAATTGGTTTTCAACTTTGTATTAGGGTTGCATGTTTTGGCCTAGGTCAAGTTGAGGAGGCCAGGTGTGTGCGATTTCCCTACTCTATGGTGTCAACTGATGGTCCAACAGACTACAATATCAGCGGCGAGGTGGTGCCAATCACAAGAATGGGTTCTCAAGGTTAAATGGCAAGAGAGTGGCGCATTGTAATGGGACCAGACTTGAGAAGGGGTTGACAAAGGAGAAAGAGACAACTCAGAAAGCTTTATTAGGTTGCTTCATAAGCAAGGATGACCACCACGTGACAGACTGTCCACAAAACAACCCTCAATGTGGTTTAACTAGTGGAAGGTGACAAGAAGGCTTGTGATGCTTTTTATGCTTGTTATACTTGTTCTATGCCATGCAGCTGGTACAGTAGAGATTGGTGTGCTGCAGGCTTAAGAGGGAGTCTAAGCCAAAAGGATCAGTGAGGTGGTTGAGATAGATGAATAAAGTGATGACTCTAGTCAAGTCATCACAGGAGACCTTCTGTGTTGAGGCCGGCCCAGTAACCAAAGTCACTCCGTTCCATGACAAATAAGGCATCCTTGACCAAAGAGGGATGCAATGCAAGGGGAAACCACTTAACCTAAGTGGGCAAAGAAGAGGAGACTAAGCAAATGACACAAACATTGTAAGTATGCTCAACCTCTAATAAGGCTAAAAAGAGACCTTACACTTGAGGGCCACATGAGGAAGTAGCAGCGGACCTTACCATGCACCCAAATGGGCATATAATGGTAGCGAAGGAGCTGACCATGTAAGCATCAGTAGAGAGACCCCTTGGTAGCAGCAGACTTGACCAAGTTTTAAGAGGACTTAATACGATACTTCAACTAGGTAAGCATGAGCATGGGGGCAAAGCCGTAGTTTACAGGGGCCCAATGCAGGACAAGCATCCGACTAGGACATCATTGTTAAGGTGGGGAGCATAGCCACTCAGGCTAAGCAAGGAGGGCAGAACCCCTTAGTATTGGAACTTATAAAGGAGCGACATCCTGCATGGAATTGTAGATTAGCTCTCTCCTAATGGGCTAGTTCTTTAGATCGACAAACCCGAGAGAGTTTGAGAACATTTAGCCTTAACTGAGTGGGAGGCTAGGCTAGTGCAACATAGTGCATAGGCATGCACACACAAGGGGAATTGTTGATTAGCTATCTCTCCTAATGGGCTAGTTCTTTAGATTGAAAAACCTGAGAGAGTTGAGAATGTTTAGCCTTAATTGAGTAGGAGGCTAGGCTAGTGCAACCTAGTGAACAGACAAGCACACACAAGAGGGCTAGTAGCTAAAGATGCTTGGTGCTAGGCCTCAGTCTAGTGGTGTGGGGAGATGGCTATGTCTGTGATGCTTGGTGGAGCACTGAGACCAATAGAGTGAGACTTAGCTGGTCAAATCATGGACAGTCTAGCTGAGCAGGTGTGTTGACCCTAAAGCGAGGGAACTTAAATTCCAAATGTGCAACTGCCCTAGGCATGGGCTGATATAATGGCTATATAGACCACTTGCCCTTAACCTTGAGGGGCCTCCCTGACTAGACAAGTGTGGAAAGTGAAATAAAGGTGGATTACGGCCCATTCTATAACTTCTTTGTTCCTCGTGCGATTTTTGCTCCATTCATCTTCTGTGGGTTTGCGGAAGGCTGGCCTGCCTGAATCTGCATTCAACATTGATTGGTGCACATTTTGGCTAAGTGAAAAGTTAGCCCCTGCCACTTCTACCAAGGAATATGCTCTTGTACATATTTTGTGGCAGGCTCTAGCGTGCGAAACATAGCTATTTTGCATATCTGGTTCTTAGCTTCAAATAGGATACAAGATTTGCTGGTTTGCTTGTAAGAAAAGAAGAGTACTTCTAAAGGGAGTTGTTCTGATACATATACCATATCCTGCCTTAGTGTTCATCATTCACAAGAGTCAGATTCTGATCCATATAACCCATTTTCTTTTCTTTGTCGATAGAAATAGAAACAATACCCAAGTTTTTCTGCTTTAAATATTTAAGGTTAACTATGTTAGTTTTTCCTATTTCCTTGTAACAGGATTCCCACAGAGTCTCCCCTTGACCAAACTCAATGTTCAGTAAGTATTTAAGAATACTCTCATTCTAG